CTGAACTTCTTTCCTAGAACTCAGAAGAATGATCCTAATCTCAGAATCTTGAGCTCCACACCAAAGTCTCCTTTACAGGTCCATATCTAAGTTAACAATGTTCCGCATTTATATGTCAATTGAACCTTCCGACTTATCAGCCCCATGCTGGTCACAAGTGAACTCTTATGTTTCAGGAATAAAGATGGATTTCTGAATATAATCAATAAAATATGCCACATGTCAATTGCTTATATGAACCCTTTCTTGGCTCAAGAACATAAGATTATACTGATATTAGGCATGACTTATAAAAAGTGATATATAACATTATCTTCTTTGTGATGATAAGGATTATATATAGCATACAAGTTGTCTGCAACTCATTTAATTGGGGAACATGACTCAGATACACATCATAACAAATTATCAATTTTTTTGGGACAAAACTTGAGAAATAAAAGTGATATATAACATGCAATAACTAAGCGGGTCATTGAAAAGATTTCATATACATCATCACAGATTTCCCGGCTAATTTATATGCTAGTCAATAACTTTAAAAATCACTAAATTTAACTGGAAAAATCAATTTGAACTCAGAAAGCGGTAGTGGGAATTGAGAAATCAAAATATCGTGAGAAGAGATAGGTGGAGCAAACCCTAGAAAGCTCCCGTTAGCGAGATATGGGCTCAATTTCTGGAGCAACGAGAGTAGCTCGACGATGAAACGAACAAGATGAAAACGGCGACGAAAGTAAATGGACTCCAGCGAGGACTGAAGACGGCGACGAGACCAACGAGAGTAGGTCGACGACGAGAATGACAACAAGCTCGAAGATGATATCGGAGAGGAGATTGGAGATGAGATCCAATATGAAAACAACGACGAATTCAGTGATGAGATCGCCGATTATATGAAGATCTTGGCCACGGCGATTTTAGGGAGCGGAATTTTTTGGCTCACACTAGTACAAAGCAGGGCTGCCCCAACGGTTGAAACCGTTGGGGCAAATCATGACCCCAACAGTTAGAACCGTTGGGGCTGAAAAAAGGACCGTTGGGACAAATTGCGTTGGGGCTGAGTCAGCCCCAACGGTTGCCAAGTTTGCCCCAACGGTTCCAACCGTTGGGGCAGTTAGGCAAATCAAATAAAAAAAAAGATATCAACCATTGGGGCTGGGCACCTTTGTACTGGGGCTCCTTGACAGGCATAGCAATAATAACCCATTGTCAGGCTAATATAGTTGGTGTTAGGCCAAGCCTTTACATCTTAGCAGATACAGGTAAATGTAAATCAACGATTGTCCTGACTTAGAACGCCGTGGTCCTAGTGAATATATTGTAAATAATACAAACTATGAAGATTTTCTTTAGAAGGTTTAAATGCATACCAGTCGTGCTGAAATAAATCCCATGTCAATGATGAGAGAGACATAATTTGGACCACTTGTGGGAACAACATTAATAACCCAAACAGATTTTCCTGCATTTAACAGTGCAGCATAGAACCCGCCTAATCGAGCATTCATGTCAAGCACATTTCTGAGCATGTTAAAAGGTGGAGAGGGATCCTCATCACCAGGCCTCTTTGGATGATCCGAGAAAATCAGAGGTGAAAGAAGAGACCAATAGTTGCGAACAGCAGAGTTCCAATTTAATGCGTCCTCGGCTAAGTCCTTTGAGTGCAAATTTGATGAACGAAAAATAAAATTGTCAATCGGTGTAAAAAGAAATTACAGTTTAAACTATGATCATTTCAAATTACCATGAATTGCAAGTTCAGTTGAGTTTGGATTAACCTAAGAAAAGTCTGTCCACTTGGACCAAGAAAATATCATCTGCATCAGTCAGTTCAAATGTTATTTATTCAACTTCATAATGCAAGATCCAAGATAAGCATTTCCCAACAAAAAAATATGCTGGATCCACTGTTACATAAGAATTGTTAGTATCTTAATGAGCATGTCATGATCAAAGCAAATGATTTAGTATCCAATTCAGTGAGGCATATTCACATTATAAGCCTACTTCATTGAATCTAAACATTTGTCTTAAGCTGATGTAATCTCTCTTATTGACCAATATGGGATATGTTAATGGTGATATTTTTAATGCATAACTTACCAATTCACATGTAGGTCCAACTATGCCTATAAAGCAATCAAGCCCTATTTACATGCAAGCATACATATCATATCGAGTCAGTTCTATACATGAGCCTCTGCTACTAATTTTTATGTAGACAGACACATTTATTTTTCTATTTTGATAACATAAGTAAAAGTTACATGCACAAATCAACTAGTAGAATGATTGATCAGTAGTTTTGCATTCAACTGAACCAGAAACGAAGTCAATCATCTAGAATTTACCACAAAGTCTGAATAAGAAATAAAGTATAAGAGAAAAAACATACCATTCTTCTCCTAGTCGATTCCACATCTTGCGATGCACATTGTTAGAAGCTGTTTTGAGAAAAGATGCGCTCCTAAGCTGCCGAAGCCACACCCAATATCTAACACAGTTATGGACTTATCTATTATATATGCTAATATATACAGGTGTATGCTAATATATACCTCTGAGATCAGAACAGAATTCTTGATACCACAAAGATTAGTTGCATAATGAAGTCCCCAATCTATGCGGTTAGCCACCTGTTCACTCAAGATGGAAGTGCAAGCTAAAACAAGAGCCATGTTAATTTAGATAGAACCCAACAGTATGCACTAGTTCAACTCCAATCTACAATTAATGTACACAACACTGACGCTTATCTTCCCAGTCCCAACCAATGCACACTGTTGGGTTTTCTTAGCTCAATTAATTTAGATATCTAGACTAGTGATCTCTTGTAGACATTTATATAGAAGCCTGGCAAATGTCACTAAGAAGTCTGCAAATATTTAAGACGTACATGAGGATTTAGGTATGAATTTAATCACAATTTCCATAAATGTGAAACGTGCCTAGTGCATCAAATATTCATTGTGTATGAAATTTTCACTAGGCTTCTATGGTGAATTTGGTGTCTATGAAGGTTAGTCTCATGCATTCAAGAAAATAAGTCATCAATGGGTCATAAGAAAGTGGATAAATCAAATTTAACACAAGCAGTCCAATTTCAATGATACTAATGGTGCATCATTTAGCTTACTAGTCACACATGAGATTAAGATCATATGAGCTACTAGAATTTTTTTTTACAACGTAGATTACATGTGCATATTAGTCAATAAGAGGCAATGATGCATGCCTCACTTACAGATGAAACCATTGACCTCGTCCAAAAAAAACTGGGGACAAATCATGATATGACCACTCACTTCATATGTTTGTCCAAACGGACAGTTCGAACACTTAAACCATAAAAAATGTTGAGGTCTAATTCACGTCAAAAGATTAATATCCTGAATTTAGCAACACACCGACACAGATGGCAAATGTGGTCCTCAAGGTGATGTATTATTCACCTGTTAATACTTAATAAGCTTGACCTTGTTGGTGATTTGATTCTAAGCCTGGCTAACAAAGATGTGATCTGAAGGGATATTAGTTTTATTTATTTCTCATACCAACTGGTATAAGCAAGGAATTAAATCGTCCGCAGCTTAAATAGCAAACAGTTTAGATAAGCTCATAAAGAATTATGAGACTTGACAACTAAAGCTTCTTTAATGGTTCAACAAATTTTGACACTGTTTTAATAAGCATTCAATTAGCATTCAATAAACCATAACTCTTAATAAACTACATGCCATCTATCTGAAGCTTGAAGTCATCACTTTGAATTCATCAGCACCCTTCATATATCTAGTACAGATTTAAGTGCAAGAGACCAAACCACTTGAAAAGATAAAAGAAGTTATCAATCAGCAATCATGTAAATTTCAATGTAGAGGACAAAAGGCAGGAAATAGCAATCAGAAAATAAATTCAGCTGTATGGTAAAAGAATGTAAAGCTAAAATAAGATCAGGTATAGGGTAAAAAATGTGAAGCTATCTCTATTAACATACCTATTACTATTTAAAGAGAAAGGCAAGAAATAGACATGTACCTTTCAATGTAGAGGACAAAAGGCAGTAGCGACGAAGGAGGAGGAGGAGGAGGAGGTAGAGGAGCTCGAATCTACAAATGAAGGAGGCGGAGCTCGAATCAGAGGAGGAGCTCGAATTAGGGATTTTAGGGGAGGAGGCGGCGATAACTCCGACGACGGCAACGATGAGAGGAGGGCGGCGCTTGTTTTGGCGAGAGAGAGGGAAGGAGGGAGGGCGGCGCTGGTTTTGGCGACGAGAAAGGGAGGGAGGCGGAGAGTGAGCTCTGACGATGACGATGAGAGGAGGGCGGCGGCGATGGATTTGGCGAGAGAGAGTGAGGGAGGGAGGGAATTAGAGAGAGATCGGAAATTTTTGGGAGCGGAATTTTTTGGCTCAGCGGCGATTTTAGGGATTTGAGAGAGAGACAGATTTCCTTTGAGCGGTGCGGTCAAACCATGGGCATTACTAAAGCTCTCCAAAGGCCACTAACAATTATTAAGCCCACAAACAATTATTAGACCTATGGCAACATTTTATATTAAATGTTGTATTAGACCCTGAAAACCGTTACGATAGATATCTAACGCAACAGTTAAAACCGTTGCGCCTTAACCGTTGCAATAGATCAATTATGTGGTAGTGGGTTGTAACCGTTGGGGCAAGTAGTGTCCCCAACGGTTACGACCGTTGGGGCAGGAAATCCACCCGTTATGGCAACTAATATCAGCACCAACGGTTGTAACCGTTGGTGCTGATACTTGCACCAACGGTTGTAACCGTTTGTGCTATTATTTTTCCTTTTTTTTCAATTTTATTAATACCTCTTGCCTACCATGTTTACATAGAATTCATATCCCACAAAATATATACGTATATATTATATTTGTTCACATCCATAAAGAGAATATCTGAAATACAATATATACCTATTAACATATATATAATATACCTGTTAACATATATATTCTCACGCACAATCAAAACAAAAGATTGACTAGAATCAGAATACAACTTATAAATTACTCAAGTCCCAAACGTAAAGAGGATATCTCAAATATACAAATGTCTTAAATATGTTAATTAAAAATACAAGTCACGACTGACTTAATCGAAAATAATCAGCGAAAGCTTTACAAGAATGGCGTGCCTTTATTCCTCTTCTTGGTTGCTTGGATGTTCCCTGATGGCGTCTTTCTTCAATGAAGGAATGAGGGAGGACATTTTTTTTTGATTGACAACAATGACTAGTTTTGGAGACAATGGGGAACAACAATGGAGTTTGGTTCGAGCATTGAGTAAAGCTGTTGCTTCGTTATTGTTTGGTTCATCATTAATCAATGCAGTAACCAGTCCATCTTCCATGATGTTTATGTAGGGGGACTTATCGATTGAAGACTCAAGAGGAGAATGAACCCCAGTACTCTCTATCTGCATCAAAAAATAATTCTTAGGAGTACAAATCATAAACTGAACTACTTACAATGGTATCATTCCAGCATGCAAGAATAAATACAAGAGAATGTTTACCCAAAAACTATATACTAACATAAAATACTTACTAATGTTTTAATAGGTTCACAAAATTTTATAACTTAGTTTGTAACAACACTAATACAACTTTTTGTAACAACACTAATACAACTTTCATGAGTAAAGCGAAATACTAGATTAGAAACAGCTTTTGCAGCAGAATAATATATGAATAACTTGCAGAAAATAAACATTGGAAATGCTTGCTTTATAAGTTAGGAGAATTTTGTGTGTTGTAAGTCATACGAGAACAATGTTATAAGGCAGATATGATACCTGTTGTTGTCCATGAATGTATGGGCTAGAGTGTAAAACAGAAAGAAACTCGCTGACGGCTCCAACCCACCTGCAATGAAGACAGACAATCTTCAGCAGCATCGACAGACTTGGTAACCGGAAGAAGTGCTGCTTCAATGTTGTAAGGCATATAACATAGTCAGAACGTTGACGAAGCCAAAGGATAGTACTTCTATGTATGCTAGAGAGCTACCCTCTATGTATAACAATCATCATGATCTATGCTTAGAAGTCACAAGTGTACACGTGTGCATATGTACAAGTATGAATCTGTATCAATAAAATCCTAGCTAGTCATGTAATCAATGTAAGTTGCAGCCTCAATAACTTTCACCTACTAGTTCACACAAATTATTGATACAGGGTTCACAAGCTTTCTATAAAAATGAGGTTGATTCTTATGACATCAGCACGTTTTGAAAAACATGTACAAAGTAGTAATAACTAATAAAGAAGGAAAGAAAGGATGACTAAACGCCACTTCAATATATCATTTTTGTAGAAAACTTCCGACATCTAGGAAAGTACTTCTTAATTACGAGAGATCTAGATGAAAAGGACAAGTCTAGAAACAAATGTTTAATTTCTTACCTTCATAACATGATCAGGTAGTAAATATTTTCATGAGATAATTACAATTATATTAATAACATATTTTTAAGCATGAATCTGTAATTGGTATGAATCTGTAATTGGTCGACATATTTTGAAGTCCCATATCTTCCAATGAAAAGAATCAAGAAAGTATGAATCTGTAATTGGTCGACATATTTTCAAAAAAAGTGCTCTACTGTTAACATATGATGCAAATATATCAAGGATATCTGAAGATGCACATGCATAACAATTCACATACAAAAGCTTCCATATGATGCAAATATATCAAGGATATCTGAAGATGCACATGCATAACAATTCACATACAAAAGCTTTTCGTAATCACATGCATATAAATACATATAGAATGCATAACAATTCACATACAAAAGCTTTTCGTAATCACATGCATATAAATACATATAGACGAATATATACGAGTTTTCACATTTTAAAATTTCAATCCTAGAACCATGTTTGCCTAATAAAACATGTCACCAGCACGATTCTGCACTTGCAAACTAGAGCTATGAATACCATCGAATCATGCATCGATAAGAAAGAGATATGCTTCTGAATTCAGCTGTATATTGCAAATTTCAGAGCCTGTAAAATTTTCAAGAAGCGGAATTCTACTGTCACTCTCAAACCAGAAGGCCTTGAAGTTATCAATCACACGTTCGAAATCCTCCAATTTTCCCCAATCTCTTCAACAATTGTAACCATCCGCCCAAAATTCACAATCCAGATTACGATTCAAAAGATCAATCAATCAACTTATCCCTATGAAACAATTCAAAATAATGATCCACATGGAAACAAAACAAAACAAAAAAACATCCACCAATTCCACCAACACACAGATTCATTCAAATTATCCAAACAAAAATTAACAAAAAAAAAAAATCAAAACGTGTTCAGGATTGTTCACCTTCATGCTGAACGGATTGGCGCTGGCCAGGCAGCGTTCGCTTGGCGACGGTGCGAGCAACGAAGAGGATGAACTCCTGGGAACCACTTGTGTGCTACCTTTTGGCCGGCTCCACGAGAGGCTTGTATTTCCCGTATCTAATCCAAATAAATCACATCAATATTGCTTCGTTAAATAAACCCTAAGTAATAAGACCTAAACCCTAGAAAAAAGGGAAAATTACTCTCTTCCAGTCAATCTGATCTTTGTAGCGAGTGCAGACTCCGGTGATCTCCGAGAAAGGGCGAAATCTACCTCCCACTTCCCGTAATTTCAAATAAATCAATAACAAGACGAAAATCAAGATTAATAGATCGTTGAATTAAATCAAAATTAATAAGAAAAACGAATTAAAAACTTTAGGAGGTTTAGCTATACAACAAGACGAGAAGGGAGGGAGGGCAGCGCTTTTTGGCGACGAGAAAGGGAGGGAGGCGGCGAGAGAGCTCCGACGACGACAACGAGAGGAGGAGGGCGGCGCTGGTTTTGGCGACGAGAGAGCTCCGGCTCCGGAGACGACGAGAGAGGGAGGGAGGCGGCGAGGGAGCTCCGGCGACAACGAGAGGAGGGCGACGATGGTTTTGGTGAGAGAGAGGGAGGGAGGGAAGCAGAGAGGGAGAGAGACCGAAATTATTTGGGGGAAAATAAATTTTGGGGCTGGGGCGTGGGCTCCCTCCGAATTTTTTGGGAAAAATTGAATTGGCCCAACGGGTAAAACCGTTGGTGCTGATAAAAATAGCCCCAACGGTCCTTACCACCCGTTGGGGCTGTTGGTATTTGTACTAGTGAATCTCGAGTTTGGCATTTATGATGGCGCAACTTGCCACAATCAGCACCCATGAGTAAGGAGAATACCTAGTCCGCCACGGCAAGGCAAATTAGAGTAGCATTTAGTCCAGCACCGTTGAATATTAAGACAATGTTCATGAAAGAAATGATAAAACTCCAAATTGCCACAATCAACACCCCACACATCATGCACCTATAAGGAGAGGGAAATCAATCGATTTACAAATTGTAAATATTTTATCATTCAAATTACTTTGTCATTCAAATTATTCGCAAGAGCAAGTACGGAATTAATAACAAATTAATTTCAGTTAGAGGTAGTCTTGGACTAGAAATTTGATTTTTTTTAATTCTGTAATTTAATGGTTACTACTTTTGATTTTCTTCAGTCAGAGATGGTTACTTCTTTGATTGGTCTTAAAGATTGTCTCATAATTTTTCACAAACCTTTCAAGGGGGGTTTAAAAAAAAGGGGGGTTTAAAAAAAAAGCGAATGAAAATATTTTCAGAGTTTTTTTTGCAGCATGCATTTACCACACTTGCAACAATGCAAGAAAGAATAAAATATAATTTTCGCATAAGTCCTCGAATGTGGCTTCCATTTTAAATTAAGTGATCTAAAGAGAGGTTTTTGCTAGAAATTCTCATTTGGCTATACCTGCACGTAGTATCCAGTTGTTGGTTTGAGTACTTTTGGTTTTGTGCTCTGTTTCGATTGATTGTTCTTTAAGTTTATGTGTTAAACTGAGTTTGTTTTTCTTCTGACAGTTATTGTCACTCACTCAGGGATGTCAAGGTATTACCTTGTACATTATTACAATGGTAATGAAATCCATTCACTTGTCAGGGAAAAAAAAAGAAAGTAGACTAATTAATCGGCCAGCCTCCTCGCAATCAGCAACAAGATCAACGAAATCAGAGTAAAAACAAGTTGCGCCATCCTAAATGCCAAACCCGAGAGCGTACCATATACCCCAAAATGCTTCATGATTATGTGCTGAAATTTCATACTAAGTGTTAAGTATGTGTCTTCACAAAATAAAGCATAGCTGAACAAGCGAAGATATAATGTGCTGCTAAATTTTGAGTATAAATATATCAAATCCAGAACTACTCTACTAGCTGAACATGCAGGTGGAGCATTCTAGTTAAAAGAAAAGAAAAAAAAATGCGCTCTTAAACCTAACTACATATAATCAAAGTATTTAGTTTTAACCAGGAATAATTAATGTATAGTTACAGAGTAAATGAATATTTAAAATCTCAAATGCCTAGATTTTACCTTCTCTTTGAGCTTCTTCCCCTCCACCAATAATAACTCACTCGTCAACTGCAGATGGCTTTTGCAGTTCTAAGCAATTTAAAGAGATCACGAGAATTAGAGTTGAGATCATCTGGGCCTTGCGTGATTTCCGCCCATACGAAGTGGGTTTTGCGATAAGAAATGTTAGAGGCACATCATGGGGCACACCTCCGGTCACACTCCCCCACCTGCTACAGTGCAGGGGGCCCCACAGGAGATTTTTAAAAAAATCTCCTGTGGGGCCCCTGCACTATAGCAGGTGGGGGAGTGTGACCGGAGGTGTGCCTCATGGTGTGCCTCTAACACCGCTCTTTTGCGATAAAAGTTAAATATAGGAAGCCTAATAAAAGATTGACTTAACGTGGTTGACAACCGCCTTAGATATTTAAGAAAACTTAGGCCAAAATGTCAGATTGGAATTTTTCGTTCAACCCCTCGGTCATATGGATATTTTTTGTTAGTCCAGCATCAATTGGGTTTTTCTGTTTTTCCCGAATTTTGGTCGCCCAACGAGATTTAATATATGGGATAAGTAAACATGTGATGTCACGTGACTTTCATCAACCATTAATTACAAGTTTATGTCAATTGATTTGTGCTTTGTAGTGGTTTGCTATTTTAATGTTCATCTTTGTAGCGCTTTGATGTTATGATTTGATACTGATGTATGATGCTTAACAGACAATTTCATTTAGAATCGGGATAATCACAAGCTAAATGCGAATACATACATATTATTGACTTTTGGAAAAAATGATTATATCTTTCAACCGAGAAGGCTGGTTCTAATATATTATATATAAAAAATCGCTTATCTTGATGAGATCAAGCTGTTCAGAGTAACAGATTCCTAAAATCACATCAGTGTCACCGATTTATGGAAAAAATTTGGCAGTAATATTCTTTATTCCGTCTAGGTTGACTTCCGTCTAGATTGATCAATCTAGACGGAATTCCGTCTAGTTTGAAACAATATAGACGGAAGCAAAATAAACCAATCAAACTAGACGGAATTCCGTCTAGATGAACTAATCTAGACGGAATTGCAATCAACCTAGACGAAAATTTCCGTCTAGTTTGGTCGATTTTCTACTAGTGAATTTTAGTTTATTTTTAGTAATAAAATTGGAGTCTATTTAGATTAAGAAATAAATTTTGATTCATGCTGGCATTATTTGTTCCTCTATTATAGGGAGTTTTTTTAACATAGGATTTGATATTTTTTATTTTTTTTATATAATTTTGGCATTATTAGAAGCCTATTTTACTTTTATTTTTAAGAAGAGCTAGGTAGTCCCAAAATTATTACTTAACTTTTGATCAAAAAATTTCCTCTTTATTTTATTTTCATCGTGGATTTGACATTCTTCATGCGTTCAAAGATTTTTTTTTTTTTTTGAAAGACAGGTTGGGCAACCTAACCAATCAAGTCTACAACAACACTCTGTCTCAAAAACAGAGGGACAAACAGACCAAAAATAAGCGAACAAATAGTCAACCAACTTAGCTAAGGCATAAGCAACACTATTACCACTGCGTCTTACATAAAAAACTTTAGAGCAACCAATAGCAGACAAACTGTAAGGACCATAAATTTTTTATACTAGTTAAAATAATTTTTTAGTATTTTAAAATATTTAATTATAATTTTTAAAAGAGTATTTATATTTTTCTCGATTTCCTATAATTTTCTATGATTTAAAAATCTGATTGTATAAATGAATTTGATATTTATAAATTTATTTTGTGCGATAAAAATTTCTGGAATTAATTTGCTGTGTTATCGGTACTATTACATATTATTTTGTACTGTTAATATTATTACATAATATTTCGTATAATACTTTGTATTATTAATTACGTATTTTTTGTATAATTAGTTGTGTTATTTCTATTGTTACATATTTTCTATCGTATTAGTATAACTAGTACGTTTTACTGTGTATATAATTATCCCATAATTATTTGATTTTAAATCTAAGTAAATATATTTTTATTATTATTTATTCTTGTTTAATTATACAATATGAGTATATTTTGACTATTTTGTATCAACTATTGTATTAGCACAACATGTACGTTTTTAATTGTAGATAATTATTTTAAAATTAGTTTAATTTTTAAGTACCTGAAATTATTTATTATAATTATTTTCGTTTTAATTATCTAACCCTAAACCCTAACCCAAACCCCTCTCTCTATATATATATTTATTTATTTATTTTTGGTTTTTTCTCTCTCTTCTCCTTTCTTCCCCAACTCGCGCCGCCAGACCGTGACCCTCTCCTTCTTTCTCATCGACACAACCCAAAATCCGACGACCGCCCTGAGCTGCTCCCGTCGTCACCTCTGCTATCGCGCGACTCACCCATCCGCCAGACCCAAGCCTGCGCCGTTCGACCTCCCTGCTGCGTCGTCCTCTGCCCCGATTAGACAGCAGACCCGCCGCCGACACGCCTCGACCCGAGCTCTGCGCTCCCTTCGCCGTGACGCAGACCGCGGCCACCTCTCCCCATTCAGAGCTTTAAAACCCTTTCCGCTTCTCGCCTCCAGCCGCTGCCCCGCCGCCTTAGCGTCCTTCCCTGTCGCATACCGCTCCCCAGCCGTAGAGCAGTCCGCTTCCTCTCCCTTCAGCTCCACGCTTGTCGCCTCGTCCCTCTTCCCCGAATCAACACCTCCCACCCCTGTCCAGTCTCTGACCAAAATGCACCCTCCTCCTCCGGCCAGGCCGCACACTAAGCTCGAGCGTCCGCTCCTCCTCTACTCCGCCAAACCCCCAGCCCGCAGCCTCATCTCCTCCCGACCGTCCTGCACGTGCCACCCAGCATCCGTGCTCAGCTCCGACTCAACCCCTCTTCCGTCGCTTTACGACTAAAGCGGAGTTTCCTACGAGGCCCCTACAGTTGCCATCAGCTCAACCTCACGCCTCTTCTCGTCCGTCCTCGGCACCTCCCTTCGCACTTGTTCAGCCCCGGTTCACCGCTGCCCTCCTTCAGATCTTCTCCAGATCTGATTGGCGGGATGCCTCGCCACCCGCGTCGTCCAGCCCTCCCCAACGCCGTTGCCGTCGCTAGACAATCCCTTGCCAGAGTTCCTTCCGACGCCGTGCTCCACCGCGTCCGATCCGACTCAAACAGCTGCCGCCGATTCGTTTGACGAACCCGAGACAAGATCCCTTTCTTTTGATTCGTCGTTTCATTTTTTAGATATAATATAAATTAATTACATCTGTAAGGACCATGAATTTTGATACTAGTTAAAATAGTTTTATGATATTTTAAAATATTTAGTTATTATTTTTAAAAGAGTATTTGTATTTTCTTGGCCTTCTAGAATTTTCTATGATTTAAAAGTCCAAATTTTATGATTTTAATATTTATAAAAATTATTTTTTGCAGTAAAAATTTCTAGAATTAATTTGTTTTGTTATCTGTACTATTACATATTATGTTGTATTATTAATATTATTATGTATTATTTCATATAATACATGGTATTATTAATTGCGTATTTTTGGTATAATTTGTTGTATTATTTTTATTGTTACATACTATCTGTCGTATTAGTATAACTAGTATGTTTTACTATGTATATAATTATCTCATAATTATTTGATTTTAAATGTGAGTAAATATATTTTTATTATTAATTATTCTCGTTTAATTGTATAATATGTGTATAATTCGACTATTTCGTATCAGATGTTTTTTTTTTGTCAATGAAAATTTTTAATTCATTTTCCAATTGAGAATTTTGTACAATATCACCATCAGCTATAGCTGAGAACCTCAGCACTCATAGTGCATACACAAGGAGCATATATACAACAATCTTACAATTCACTAATTCTCTCCTCTAAGTGAGCAGGATATTTTTCATTCATGATCTTCGAGAAAAAAGAGATCTTAATAGCTTTGAACAACATATCAGGTTGCATAGATTTCCCCTGGAAAATCCTAAGATTCCTCTCTTGCCATATGAAGTACACTGTTATACCAAAGGCCAGTCTCTTTAAATTTTCCACAAATCCCCTCTTATTGAGCCTGAGGCTGAACCAGTGTATGATACTATCCCATATGCATGATTTCCAGCTGAAATTCATCCAAACCATCACCATGTTCCAGACAGTGGATGAATATTGGCATTCAAAGAATAGATGGTGACAGGTTTCCTGAGAATTTGTACACAACACACATTGATTTGCATTAAGAATACCCATCCGACATAGCCTATCTTGAGTAATCAACCTTGATTGAACAGCTAACCATAGGATGAAAGAATGTTTGGGATAATGAATATTATTCCAAACTGTATTAGCCCAGTGTACTTGCTGTGCAGGTTGCACCAAAAAACTGTACACAGAAGAAACCTGAACTTTATCACCTACACATGACTTGCCAATGATAGCAATCAGGTTATTTATGTTGCCAAGTTTAGCAATCAAAACATCTCTGGTTTTTAGAATCTGCTTCCACATCCAGGAGCTATTTGATTTAACCTGTACACTCCAGATATCTGCATTAAGTAAATAATTCCCATGCACCCATTTAATCCACAAAAGATCCTTTTTGATATGAATCATCCACAAAAGTTTTAGAGCTGCAGCTTGATTCCAGATTCTTGCTGAAAAGACACCCAAACCTCCATACCTTTTCTCTTGACAGATGGTTGACCATGAAACCAGAGGGATTTTGTGATTCCATAAAAATTCAGAACATAATCTGTCAATTTTGTTTAGGACTTTACTAGGCAAGATATAGTTATTTGTCCAGTAGATATGCACCCCTAAAATGACAGACTTGATCAATTGTAACCTTCCAGCATAAGATAGGGTCTTTTTATTTTGCCAATGTTGGAATTTTTCAGAGATTTTGCTGATGAGAGGGGAACAGTCCAACCAAGAGAGTCTCTTAGCTATAGGAGGCATCCCAAGATACCTAACCGGTAGGCAACCTTCAGAGAAATTCAGAAATGAACATATTTGGAGCTTCAGGTTGTCATCAATACCACTTAGGTATACTGAGCATTTATCTGGATTGATATTCAGACCAGAGACTTTACTGAATTCATTCATACAGCTATGAAGTTTAACAATGGAGTTCATATCAGCTCTACCAAAGAGAAGAAGATCATCAGCAAAGAATAAATGGGTGATGTTTAATCTCGAGCATTTTGGATGAAATTTGAACAATCTGTCATGCTTTAGAGTATTCAACTTTCTAGACAAGTATTCCATGCCGAGAACAAATAAGTATGGGGAAAGAGGATCCCATTGCCTCAATCCTCTAGCCCCTTAGAAATAGCCGTGGAGAGAGCCGTTAAGGGAAAGGGAAAATTTAGGAGTAGTAATGCATACCATTATCCATTTCACCATAATGTTTGGAAATCCCAGACCTATCAGCATAGCTTCAATGAAGTCCCAATTTATAGTATCAAAAGCCTTTCGTAGGTCAATATTCAGGACAGCTCTGGGGGAATTTTGTTTCCTTCCATAATGTTTGATGAGCTCATGAGCAAGAAGGATATTATTTGAAATAATTCTACCTTTAACAAAAGCACTTTGGGCACTGTTAATAAGATAACCCATAACTCTCTGAATTCTGGCAGCAATGATTTTAGTAATGATCTTATATACACAGTTGCAACAAGAAATAGGTCGGTAATCAGATGGAGTTTGGGGATTAAGTACCTTGGGAATCAAAGTTATTGAGGTAGAATTAATAGCACCAAGGAGTTTCCCAGAGCAAAAGAATTCCTAAATCGCAAGATAGAGATCTTCATTGATAATGCTCCAAGCTGTCTTGTAAAAAGAGGCACTGAAACCATCAGGTCCTGGGGCTCTGTCATCATCCATTGAGAAGACAACAGCTTTAATCTCGTCTCTTGTTATAGGAAGACCCAATTCATTCCTTTGAGTAGCAGAAAGCAAGGGACCATTTGCTATGACTTCAGGATCAGGAGGAATGACAGTAACTGAAGTGCCCAGAAGCTGTTCATAATACTCAATGAACTTGGCAGTAATATCAGTCATATCAGTTATTCTTTGTCCATTATCTAAGTAGAGAGATAATACTCTATTGTGATGACGATTAGTTTTCATAACAGAGTGAAAAAATTGAGTACATTTGTCCCCATATTTTCCCCATTTGATGTTAGCCTTTTGTCTGTAAAATGAAACTTCATGATCTAACAGCCTCACATACTTACTTAAACTTTCCTTCTCCTTTGAAATCAGCATAGCATTAAAAGGATCAATGTTCAGTTGCTTTTGAACTTCCTCAAGATTATTTTTTGCCCTCAAAACTTGCTCACTGATATTCATGAAATTTCTCTTATTTAAATCCTTTAGAACAGGCTTGAGATTTTTGAGTTTGGTATGAAATTTGTACATATTGTAGCCCATAACAATATTATCCCAGCTAGAAGCCACTGCAGAGAGAAAATCTGGGTGAGATATCCACATCTTGAAGAACTTAAAAGGCCTTTTCCCTTTATAATCCTCATTTTCAATAGTAATTAATCCTGGAGAATGGTCTGAGCAACTTGGAGACAAGAATTCAACTTGACTTGAGGTATAATTCTGAATCCAGTCTTCATTAACTAGGACCCTATCAAGTCTGCACCATATTCTAGAATCAGGATCTTGCCTATTGCACCAGGTAAAAAAACACCCAGCTGTCTTCAGATGAACAAGTTGACTAGAAGAAATGAAGTCCAGGAAATCTTCTGTGTCAGAAACAGATACTGGAACACCACCAATTTTCTCACTATTATTGATAATAGTGTTGAAATCCCCTCCTATAATCCAAGGACCAGTCACATTATTTTTGAAAGCCAGAATGTCATGCCAAAGAGCCTTCCTACCAGAATTATCATTTAGAGCATATACAATAGTAATAGTGCATGATAATCTGCAATCCTTAGACTTGACAGTACAAGTCATGAATTGATTTGAGGAGTTAAGCAGTTGTAGTGAGAAAAGATCACTATCCCAAAGAATCCATATTCTAGCATTATTGGCCTGATGATAATTTGAAATCCAAGACCAGTCTTTAGCCACTTTTTTTGCAATAGCATGCAATTTATTACCAGCTATTTTAGTTTCTAAAAGAGCTATAAAAGGGAGCTTATACTGAGAAATGAAATGCTTTACCATCATTTGCTTAGAGGATTTATTGAATCCTCTAACATTCCAAATAACCAAGTGCATTAAAACTTTGATCCACCCCTATCTATACTTGAGGGGTCCAAATCATGCTCTTGATGATCTAAGGGGGAAAACTGTGATGCCTGGGAAAATGGTATAGCCTCCACTGATTTTGATGTTCCTTTATCATTTATTACTCCACCAGATTTTCTTATAGATTTACCTTTGACAACACTGGAAAAACCTGTTACATTAACAACAGGAGAAGAGAGAGCATTTGTAATTCCAGGTTTAACTGTTTGTGCACGTGCACCATAACCCCCAGGAATCCCTGAACCTTCCTTAATAACAGAATCTTGATGAATGTTTGGAGTAATATTAGGCACAGAAATATTATCAGCATGCTCTTTAGAGTTAGTAACAGAATTCACTTCAATACTGGAAACACCAGAGTTAGCACCAATATTGGGAGCAACATTTGTAACAGATTTGTGAGTAGTTTCTCCAGCATTTGCATCAGCATTTCTATTTGCATTTCTATTAACAGGCATCCACCTCATTTTGCCATTCTTCTTTCTGCATTGCTCAGTAGAGTGGCCAATAGCTTTACAAGTATCACACCATCTAGGTTTGAATTCATATATAACTTTTTGATTGTGGCACATCCCGTTTGGCCCTTGGATTACAATCTGATCAGGTAGAGGAGATGTTAGAGGCAATTGCACTTCCAATAAGACTCTGGCATAAGATATCCTCTTCCTAGTAGCAGTCAATTTGTCTGTGGTAATAGGTTTGCCAATAAGGCTAGCCACTTTACTGATCCCAGTAGAGCTCCAAAGATTCAGACGTAAATTAGGAAATTGAACCCACAGAGGGTAAGAAGAATCCTGAATCCTATCCATATCTGTTTCAATGCTCCATGGTTTAAGGACAAGAGGCCTTGAACCAAAAAACCATGGGCCAGCTTCCAAAACATCATACATTTGTTTTTCCGATTGAAAATCAAAGAGAAAAACACCAGGCTTAATTAGATGAATCTCAGGAATAGAAATATTCCCCCACAATTTATTGACATAAGATTCCATAGATTTAAACCTGACATTTAAGCCAATAACGTGACCAACTAGAGCAAATCTCCAATAGTCTTCACCTTCCATCCATTCCTCCATGGAAAAAATGGCAGTATTCATTTGGGAATGAGGAACATAACTCAGATTTAAGCCTTTACCACTTTTCCTATTATAAGCAAATAGACTTGCAAAAGTTTTTTGAATCTTAGGAATCTGTTCATCAGGTGTTTTTGCATGATTTGCATTGATATCTATAGATTTTCCATTCACCTCATTATCAGTAGGTGTTTGAGTAAGATCTACCAGATTCGTGCTCTTATTAGCATCATCTAATCTATTCTGATCAATATTTATAGGATTTTCTTCATCTAGATTCAGATTTCTGACAGATTCAGATTCAAAAGCCTCATCGACCTCATCAGCCCAGAGATTAGAAAGATTACCTCCAGATCTCACTTGTTGAGGATCAGAGATCGAGCACGATTTAGCAAGAATCTCTTCCATTAGCAACTTCTTTTTCGCCCCCTTAGGACCAGTACTCTCCATTATCATTCTGCTAGAAGATCCCTCACTATCCTCTGCTTCTACTGTTCCATTGGATTCACCATCAGGGATGGAAGAGGAAGGAAAAACAAACATTGAATCCCTGAGCTCACTGCTGAGTACTCTTCTTCTTCTTCCTCATTGAAACCAGGCGGAGGTGCACGTTAGCAAGGAGATCCGCTCGCTAAAATGCACCATCAGACAGATCCGCTCGCTAAAATCTCCCCAGATTTTCGTATCAGATGTTGTATTAGCACAACATGTAAGTTTTTATTTGTAAATAATTATTTCGTAATTAGTTTAATTTTTAAGTACTTATAATTATTTATTTTAATTATTTTTGATTAAATTCCCTAATCCTAATATTATATATGTATATAAATACCGTAACCAAACTCCACTCTCTCCACTCCCCTGAAAACCAACCCACGTTCCCCACTCCTCATCAACCCTCTGTCACTCTCTCTCCAATCACATCACTCACTTACACCCACGTCACCCCAACTCCCTCATTAAATAATTTACTTTTTCTCTCTCCAATCACATCACTCACTTACACCCACGTCACCCCAACTCCCTCATTAAATAATTTACTTTTTCTCTTCATCTCTCACTTCATTGCTCTCTCTCGTACAGTACCTCTCCTTCGTTCTCTCTCTTCAAAAGAACCCAACTCCTCTTCCAAACACCGCCACCTTCATCATCTCCATCTCCCTCTCACGTTCATTCCGCCGACCAAGCAACGCGCCTCCGCCTCGCCGCACTCGCCGCCTGCCGACCACGACGCAATCACACGACTGAATCGATCCTCTCCTCCGCCTGCCTTCCTCCTTGGCCGCCGCGCCGAAAAAAAAACCCCAGGGCGACGCTTGACAGCCCCCAGGTTCCCTCCCTCCGACCACGCCGCCACATCGCGTGCTCAGCGCCACGCGAACCCGCCTCCGACACCGCTGACCACCTTCGCGACCGCCGAGCAGCCCTAGCCTCCAGCGCCATCCTCGAACTCCTCCCTCGAGCTCGATCGGCTCAACACGCGGACGCCGCCCTCTCTCCGTCCTTCCGTCGTCGGCGAACTCCCACCCCGCTGCCGCTGCCTCCCAAGCCTGCAGCCAGCCGCCTCACTCCTCCTTGTTGCCGAGGCAACACCCACAAGCCCCTTCGTCACCGCCGTCGTGCTCCCACTGTGAACTCGCAGCCGGCCGCTCAGCACCTCCGCACGCCGCCGCCAGTCATCGCTGTCCTCTTCAGCCTGAGCAGCCGCATCGTCGCTGTAGTTCCTCGACAATCCTCTCCACATCGTCGACGTCAACTCGTCGTAGGCAAGATCCCTCTTGCCATTATCTTGTTTTAATTTATTTTTACCATATGAATTATTTTGTATATGTATAGTTTAGTCCGTGCTAATTTAATATCATATGTGCAGTTAACGGTTACGTTTTCGGTGAATATTCTCTAGTACAAAATTATTCGTGATGA